GTAAAAACTAAGATATCTGATGAAACTGGCTAAAATTTCTTGGCAAAAAAGTGAAGACGAGTTCGCAAATGTGCGCAATCGGACCACTGCCACGCCCACAAAATTTCATTAAACCAAAATTAATATATAACTAAAAATTGAAAATTGAAGAGAATCGTTTCCTTAYTGCCATGTCTGTGCATTACTTGTACAAATGAGTTGAATGGGAAAAAGGCTCATGCACCTGAAGGTTTTCCCCGACTTTAATCCATGCAAGTTGAAAGATTATAAAATATTCAGTTATTTCCGAATTTAGCCCTCCCTTACTTGTTTTTCAATAATTTTTTATTTTTTATTTTATTTTTTTTTGTTTGCTTTTGCATTGGGTACAGTCTGTGCTGCTTCAGCAAAAATTTGCATATCTCTCTTTACATTTTGCACCAATAGTTTGSAATGCAAAGCAACGTTTACGCAAACACAAAACGGAAATGAAAAGAAGTCACAATTACAATAAGTACCGTTGACTTGGTTGGTTACAACTTTTGAATGCCTGAGTGTTGGCACATTTGCATATGTCGAATATTTGGTGAGGACGGTGTCATTTGCAAGCCAAAGAACTGGAGTGAAAGAGCTTATGGATGAGTCGACGAAACAACGGAACCGACTAAATATGCACACGAATGGTAGAGAAATTAAAATAAACTCGTTTAATGGCTCAGAAAYGCTTGATCCACTTTGACGCTGAATGACGAACTGTTACCCTTGTTATAACCGATTGTGCACGTAACTGTAGTATACATATGTAYAWMTGTATGTAAAATACTCGCACAGAGAGTTACATACGATTTTGCATGTGTATTAGTGAAGCTTATTGCATAACAACTGGCGCAAGCTGGATAAACCTTGAAATAAGTAGCACAACGCAGCGCTATATTTAATTGCCGGAGGTTTCCTTTCCATTTTACATATTTTATAAAATTTTATATTTTTTAAAGAATTTTTTTACTTTTTTCGCTTGCAAACTCAGGAACTAGCTTTATGTAATATAGCGGGTTATTAGAGCCTTTCGTGCATAATAAAAAGTGCAATTAATACATAATTAAAAGTAAAAAGTGTAATTAGTCAGCATTTGTGTTTTACGCACAAATAAATCCGTAGCAGTAACAAATTAAAAGTGAATAAGGGTTGGAGCATTCAAGCTGCTATTAAACGAGGTTAGTAAGTAACAACTGTTATTTATTGTTTCTTGTATTATTAAAGAAAATATTTGTGTTTTTCTTCTTAGACTTACTCTCGTAATTTGTTGTTTTGCAGCAAAAAAACCATGTAGAAGGGCTTATAAATCTTATAATAGCTTTTTTAGAGCTTAAAGCTATGCATTACAACCATAAAGGAAGTGTTTATCGGCAACCGCCTGGTATTTACCGGATGCCAGTTGTATAAGCTATTTGGAAGAAAAGGAGGTATGAAAAAATACTTCAACCGCCCGCTTTCGCGAGATCCAGGCTAAAACATTTGGAAGCTCAGACTTCGTCGGTCTTATAAGTTATGATGACAGGAATTTTATTTTATGGCTTCAGAAATGACTGTATGTAACGGGTGATACAATTAAAGGTACTTTTTTCATCAACCTTTTTTTGACAGATCCCGAATGAGTCGTGTGGAGTTTATAAACGGTTCAACTTTATTACGAAAGTTCACGTTCTGTAAATAATTTGTTTCGCGCGCTTCGCTCAACTTATGGTCAACGTAATAGGTCTACTGAGAGTACTATTCGCAAYACGATCATCCATCTTAAGACCCAGCATTCATTCTTGTATAATATTCGACCAAATAGACCATGTCCAGTAAGTAGTGAAGAAAATATAGCAGTCGTAGCTGAGAGTGTACACGAAGACGGTGGAGAGTCGGACTSACAAATGAAATGACTGAAAACATTTTACGTCGCTTCACTCTATGGACTCTTGAAAAGTTCCAAGCAGATCCGACATTTGCGTGCCAAATTTTCTTTAGCGAGCAAATGCAAGCAAAATTGCCGCATTTGGGACGAACCGGAAAATAGTCAAGAGCTGCCGCTTATCCAGAAAAAAAACCAAAACGGTTTGATGTGGTTTGTGGACCGGTGGAATCACCTCAGTAAGCAGATAACTTCACGTTTTGGGTCGGCCGATTGGCYAACAAGATCGCTTGATATCCCACCGTTGGAATTTTTCCTGTCGAGATGTGTAAAGTCTAAAGTTTGATCGCATCTCCTTCGATTCAGGCCATAACCTAGACTGACATCACGCGTGTCATTCGCAAAGTACCAGTCGAAAATTGGACTAAATGGATGGCCCTTCTGTGACGTATCCGCGGCCAGCATTTAAAAATTATAATCCTCGAAATAATGCCAAAAACCTTCTGTCGACTGATAATAAACTTTCCACATTAAATTTAAAGCTTATGTTTTTTTCTTTCAAAGATCAAGGAGCGCTCAAAATTAACAGAATATGTAAACTGTTTTTTTTCAAATATATTCTACGTGATAATTTCTAAGTGAAAAACTATCTGTTGGCGAGACATAACACCTTCAGAAAACCGCGAGTTGAGTAATAAACCTAAATTCAAACTTTCCTAGATAGAAAAGTTAAAAAAAGATTCTAAGGGGGAAAATCATAAAACCGAAAAGATTTTGTTTGTTAATTTGCTTTAATCAAAATTGGTTTGAAGAATAAAAATCTTATATTTTAGCAACCCCGACAAATCTGAGCCAGAATGCGGTATACAAATGTCAGCTACTACTTTGTTCAATTTCACCGTGACGGCGCCAACTCAAAAGACGCACTCATTCAGATAGGCCACAAGCGGCAGTAAAAGCGGCTTCTCAAAGCAGTGTATAGCTTATGTAGCTATTATAMGGTTGGTAATGGAGGTTGAGAAACTCTAATTAGAACGTTAAGAAAGTTAGTGCATATTTTGTTTTTAAACTTTAAAAATCAGATAAAGTTATCCAAAAATAAGTGCGCTTTCTTATCTAAACAAAAAAAAATCTAATCAAGTATAAGCTTACCATATTTATTCAGTCGATATAASTCTTAAATCAACACGCTAGAAATTTTATAATTTTCATAAATTTCTTAAATCAAAAAACTTATGAAGCCAATTTTTTGAAATCTTGAAAATAATATTTGAACATGAATTGGAAAACACTTCTTATATTTATTTTTTTTTTTTTACTTTTATACAACAGTTTAAAAAAGTATAAATAATAAACGATAGAATTTACACCGAAAAATTGCCCACATTTAGGCGCAATGTCCAACACGAWAGTTAAAGTTTTAATAAATATGCTTAATGTGCATCATTAAATCTACTTCATCTAAAGTATAATTTCCTATTCGGTCTTGACACATTATTTGTAACAAACATATTGCGCAGTAAAAATATATGTCAACTTATTTACTCGAATTAAGACCATAAACATGAAACCCAATCTCATAACATAAATAATATTTTTTTTTTAATTTTTCTATAAGCATTGCCACAAAATTAGTACACAAATGTCGCTTAGAATTGCCCGAAATGTGATAGCAAAGCACAAAACGAGGGCGGTGTTGTGAATAAACGCAAATAATTGGAACAAAACTTTACACAAATACGGTATTTTAGCTGAGGTATCCCTTGTGTAAAAATTGTCGTGATCGGACTATAACTTTTCAGGGTTCCTGATATCGAACACGAAGAAATCAGTAGCCTAACCTAACCAAATTTTTCACCGAAAATAGCGGTAAATCTCTCAGATATTTTCATGTAATTCAGAGGGCATCATTTTTATACTCACGCAATAAAGTTGCTAATAACGGTTTATATCGTCAGATAAATGGTTACATATACCACTTGAGTAAAAATTTAGATTTCTTGATGAAACTTGTCATGCGAGAGTATAAAATGTGCGGTGACACACTAACTTAGCCCTTCCTTACTTGTCTTTATTATGAATAGTTTTAATTATTGAAAATCTTTTCAGCTTTGTAACTTATTGGATCTACTTTCAAATAGTATAGAGTGCTTATCGAAAAGTTATCAAGTAGTTTGAAACTTGTTAATGTTTTTTAATATAACAATTTCATCCAAACTTATGTGCTTATAATCACATATTTGTATTGACGCCTAATTGTATACTATACCCAATCTCAAGTTTTTGAAAAAKAATCTATAGAAAGTGCATGCTCATAAGGAAACAATGAATATCTTTTATTAGAACTTTCAACATAAGAAACAACTTAATATTGGCTAACACATTTTTCTAAATTAGAGAAAACTATTAGTGGCAAACTAACATTGCTTATTTTTAGGCGCACACGTCTCTAAATAATAGATTTCGCCTACTCTAAGCGTATTTTTCGTGAAAACACAATGCAGCTTTCTAAAAACTACTGTGAAAATACCTAAATAATTCTATAAATAAAAAAATGAATAAATAATTGGCATTTTAAAAAGAGTGAGTCGTTTATATAAGCATTTCAAAAAATATTATTGCTTCTATTATATCACAATTTCACAATCTTCTTCAGTGTCAAAACGTTGCAGCACGTCCATTAATATACAATGACACATTAAAAAGTACCAAAAATGTCACCAGTGTGACAGCTGTCAATTACGTTGTCACTGTAACATCATTCAGTGATGGCAATCTCATGGCACRTGTAGCAATAGCAGCTGCTTTTACGACGGATTTTCCACACCGTTCGACATTTCGATGGGCAACACTTTTTGAACGTTTCTAAAAATAGCAAAATTTACCCATTTTCTGTCGAACTATAAATTCATTTTTATTTTTATGTAAATTGGTAATAATTTTTGTGAGCGCTGCAGTGCGTTGATCTACATTAACATGGTTTTCTTTAAAAAAAAAAATGTTAATTGAAGATTTTGGTTAGATTGACATTCAAACTGTTCTTTCTTCGTTTTTTTTTCTTTTTTTATAGTTTCGCGGGCAATTGAATATTAATAAAATGGAAATATTAGAAATTGTCACTTACTTTCAACGGTAAATTGTACGGCAACAATTGGCTGTACATATCCTTCGATATTTTTGAATGGGAAATAATAGCCGGGGAAACCCATGCGTGGATAGTAATCGCGTGCCTTAATATTTTCCACATCGGCAGGGTTTTCGCCTTCGCAGGAGATCCAAACGACGCTGGTCTGTTAAATGGAAATTAATAAAAGTAATTGSTTAGTGAAATAGTGTAATAATAAACTGTTATAATATACATATAAGTTCGAGTTGTGAATATACATATTTTGGGGTCTTAACACATTTTTATACGTGAGTGGCAAAAGAACACTTAACTCAAGAGAGTTCCCTGAAAACACTAACAACATCTCAGAAGTCATATGTATGTGTAAATATTTCTCAATTGCCAAAAACCCATTTTTTCCAATTACACGGTATTTTTTTCAAAGAAATTTTATTTCTTTCTACACTCACTTGATTTGGTCGCAAGCTTTCCTTCTCTTTAATATGGTTCTGCAGTTCGACAGGCATATCAACTGGTAGATGTTTTGAGTCGTTGTAGATAGCTGGTTCCCAGTTGTAAATCTGTGCAAAAAAAATTGCAAAGAAAATATTTTTGTAAACATTTTTTTTTCACAGTTTGTAGCAAAAATATTTTCTACCTTATTCAACTTCAGGAATATGCATGGTCTGGCCTGATGATAGCCGAAGTTGTTCTCCTTTGTGCATGGAGCGAAAGAGTTGGCATCAAAAGCGCAAACTTTACCCTCTGGTGGTGGATTTTCGAATGAACAATTCACTTGGTTCTGCTTTGGTAGATTTTCATAGGCTGTGTGTGTTTGAAATAATATTTGTAATCAATAAATAATTTTGAAGTAATGCATGAGAAAGTAGAAAGAAAGCATTTTAGTTTAGCAATAAAAGTAAGACACTTAAAGAAGACGTAATTTATAGCTGTAAAAAGGTTGAAATACAAAATAAATACATAAGACTAAATTTTCAGAATTTCAACGCAACAGGAATTTTATATTATTTTATAGCGATAGTGTACAATATTTTATAGCAATAAACTACGTACATATACATATGTATATATTAGCAAACCTTTTTTTTATTTTTTTTAGCAAATTTATCATGTAGCTGTAATTCTAGTCTCTGTTACAGCAAGTAAGTACTAGCATTTATGAATTTTTTTCATTTCGGTTTCATCTTCTATATACACACTTACTCTTGGGCACAGCTAGAAATTATGCCGATTTCAACATTGAGTTAACATGTGTAATAAAAATAAAAAGTTTTGAGTATCTGAAATTTTTAAATGATCTAAAAATAAATTAATAAGTACCGAATTTGAACCTAATTCTCTTTATTTGTAATATCTGTATTTTATTTTACTGATGTAACTGTTTGGTGCTTTAGTAATGTATTGCTTTGAATTTCAGTTAGGAATTAGGGGTAGTGCTCTCATTTCTYAGGGCAAAACAGTGCTCAAATATAATAAATATAAAAATTATAATGAATTGCCACCCTATTTATGTACCGAAAAAGTAAAATTGAAAAAAAAAGTGGGCTAATTATAACGCGTTTAAGCCTTGTATTTCCAAAAACTTTCTGGAAATGATCGATTTGGTTCAATTTTAAATAGAGTTTTAATGTAACAATTTTATATAAGCAAATTGTTGCCGAGGCTTTAGTAAACGTTTAAAAAAATAACATTTTTAGAAAGAAACTGTTTTAATGCTCTTTAATTAATAAATTTGTTGGTATAGAGTTGCCACCTTTTTGTATAAAAATAATAAAACTGAAAATATTACTAAAATTGTCCTAATTATAAAGCCCGAACATATTCTAAAAATCTTCGATTTGGATMAATTTTTAAATAGTGTTGCCACCCAACAAAAAAAGCAAAGTATAACTACGTATGATTACATTAAAATATTTAAGGCCAGAAAATAATCCAAAAAACTTCGATTTGCGTTAATTTTGAAATAGGATTGCCGCTTTACAAAAAAATTTAAGTTAAGCAAAATATCAAGACGGATGCAGTTACGCATTAAAAATTGCSCTTCCTAAAATTTAAAAAGTAACATTTTTTTAATAGAGTTGCCACCTATTGAAAATTTAGGAAAATTTATCCACTCGTAAGGCTCTGAAAAATATTTTCCGTGTATTCGTGGAGACTTGAATTCAAAAATTCGTTTAAGCTAAAATGTAAAACTCAAACTGATAAACGAATTGTCATTTATAAAATACSAAAACAATTATTCAAGTCCTAAAACATTGACTGACTTACACACACAAAAATTGCACACAATACATTGAAATATAACATAACTAATTTTATTTTAAATTGGCTTTATACTCACATTGGAGGAATGTTGCAGTTTCATCGACCCAGTATTTGTAATTTTCGGGTCTCGATTTCTCGTACCAGATTAAAGTGCTCTCTACATTTGCCTCTGGGGGCATTGGTCGAAAGCCAAGACCTACAAAGAAAGAAAGATAAGCAAGTTTTAAATTTTGTAGAAACTTAACAGTGCTTTTTAAGATACAACTATTCAGGTTATACTGCTTTAGCAATACCAAATGGATACCATAAGTAGCAAATACTATTAAAACAATTTTTGAAAATAGTTGCCACCTGTAAATAATTGGACTGAGAAAAATATTGCAAAATGTAATGTAAACTTAAGCAGTTGAAGCAGTTCCCCTTTTCAAGTTTTTTTTTTTTTTTTTTTGTTTTTTGTTTTTTTTTTTTTTTTTTTTTTTTTTTTGTTTTTTGTTTTTTTTTTTTTGTGAATTATTACTAAAGTTTTGGAATGGTTTTGTCACCTACAACAAACAAAAAATGGTGGGAAATATTGCACAACAAGCACTAATAGGGCACCTTTGCTAAATTAGTAGCTACACTTTTGTTTCTTGCAAATTTTGTAACGGAGCTGCCACATATTAAATAAATTATGCATCGTGTAAGAAATTACAATCTTCTATAAGAGTGTACAGCTGCTGGCGTATGCCCATGATATTGATATCAACAGCGGCTACGCTGGCTAGGTCAGAATGGACGAAAACACTCCAGCTCTGAAAGCGTTCGACGCTGTACCCGTCGGAGGAAGCAGAGGAAGAGGAAGACCTCCACTCCGTTGAAAGGATCAGGTAGAGAAAGACCTGGCAACGCTTGGAATATCCAATTGGCGCCACGTAGCCAAAAGAAGAACGACTGGCGCGCTGTTGTTAACTCGACTATAATCGCGTAAGCGGTGTCTACGCCAATTAAGAAGAAGAAGAAGTAAGAAATAATGTGCCAAACATATTCCAAAAAGTATATTAAAGTGTTTCCGAAAACGTCCGTTTTAAGTTTTTTTTTTAATTTGAAATATATTTTGGTATGGAGTTGCCAGCTATAGAAAAAATAGCTGAGAGAAATGTTGAAAGATATTTACCAAAAGATAGATAGACAGATAAATTCTAGATGTGTATAAGAGACAGCTAAAACATTGACTGACTTACACGCACAAAACATTGAAATATAACATAAATAATTTTATTTTAAATTGGCTTTATACTCACATTGGAGGAATGTTGCAGTTTCATCGACCCAGTATTTGTAATTTTCGGGTCTCGATTTCTCGTACCAGATTAAAGTGCTCTCTACATTTGCCTCTGGGGGCATTGGTCGAAAGCCAAGACCTACAAAGAAAGAAAGATAAGCAAGTTTTAAATTTTGTAGAAACTTAACAGTGCTTTTTAAGATACAACTATTCAGGTTATACTGCTTTAGCAATACCAAATGGATACCATAAGTAGCAAATACTATTAAAACAATTTTTGAAAATAGTTGCCACCTGTAAATAATTGGACTGAGAAAAATATTGCAAAATGTAATGTAAACTTAAGCAGTTGAAGCAGTTCCCCTTTTCAAGTTTTTTTTTTTTTTTTTTT